CTTTCAAGTGGTTCAAACTTTGATTTTTTTATTAACTCCCACTGGGACTTCACTCTATCAAACACTGCATTTGTACAGATTTCAAGAATATGATGTCGACAGGCTAAAAACAAAACTCTTCGGTTCATTGACTTCTGTATGACAGTTATTGCCCTATTATAACTTCCTGTATTACTTGCAGTTGTGTCAAAGCAAAGACCTGCAAGATGCTCCTTGACACCAGGCCATTCATGAATGAACTCAACTACCTTCTGTCTCATCAGAGCACCAGTACCAGCAGGTATTTCAGGGATCCCTAGTAATTTCTCAATATCCAAGCCAGATACAACAATTGGCAGACATTCACGTCTGTTTCTATCAACATATGACAACATTTTACCATCAAAATGAGCAACTAGCGGAACCAAGGGTTGAAAATCTTTTCTTACTGCTGTTAAAAGAGATTCGCCAGATGTAGTTCGAGCTTCTATTAGAGTGGAACGTGATAATGTTAATTTATTTACATCAATACCGATTGCAGCTAGAGCTGGTGTGACAACCATCATTGCTTGTTGTGGTGTTATTTTTGTTCGGTCTAATGCTGCATGAAAGAGTTGATTATCAAGATTACAACGTTTGGATACTGTAATTGAGAGTTGACTAGTACCCATAGTAGAATGTTTTAAAATTTTTAAACGATTAAAAACTTTTTGTATTTGAATTGACGCATCACAGTCAGAATTTTCATCCAAAGAGTAATCTGAATTGTCATCCATTAATGTTTCTGTAAATTTAACTTTACTTTCTTTATGTTGTTCATAGCGTCTTTTTTCTTCAAGCTTGCGTTTTCTGTATTTTACAACTGCTTTCTTATACATTAGGTCTTCCGATGTCATTAACATCTTTCTGGGGCCTCTCTGGTCTATCAGAAACTGTTTATCTTCATTTATCTTGATGAGACAATTCCATTCACTATAGGCAATATCAAAAAGTGTAGACATCTTGGTGGTGAATTTTTTTTCATAGCTGTGTTGAGTAGCTGATTTTCTACTTCTGTGCTTAGACACTTGAACATGTTGCTTGTGAATACTCTTTAGTTTAGCAACTACATGAGGCTTTGCTATAGTTGGAATATTAGCCTTAACCAGAAAATCATAACTTCATCTGCAACTGTGTTGCAAAATGTTGAAAGAGTTGACTTTTTGACTATCATTTCATAAAAAAACTCTACATAGTGCAACACCACTTGTTGGCAACTGACTCGGTCCATCTATTGTGGAGAGAATATGTCCAACTAGCCAAACATTTGAAGTTGAGCGTGTTGCTTTGTTTGAAGCAGCCATCTTCTTATGTAATATTTTTATACTTTTTTACTATAATAAAAAGAGTATGACAGAAATTTAACAATTACAAAGTGCTCAAAGCATAATAAAAAAATTAATTCTTAGATAATACACCCGCCCCCCATTCATTCCTAACCCTTTCCCACCCAACAATGGCCAAACATGTCATTACTATTATTAAATTTATAAAAATTTAATTTCTGAGCTAAAGTTTACTTAGAAAAAGTTTACTTGAAATTAAAGCAAATAAAATGTTTTTGAAATCAAAATAGGCATTTAGGAGCGATTTTGGGTAAATAATGCTGAGGGGGGTTAATCTAAATTTGCTTGTACTTTCCAGTCTTCTGTGAGCTTCTATGTTGTAACATTATAATACTTATATTACTTGTTTTTAGATCAATTTATAGCAGTATTTTCTATGAAATAAAAATAGAATTACAAGATTAAGTTTTTATACAAATTTTGGTTAATTTAGGGTTCCAAAATAGGGTTTGGGGGACCACTTCCCATTTTCAGTTTGCAAAAAAATTTAAACTATATACTTTTTATAACAGACCTCACCAAATAAGAGGTTGTGCGATTTAAAATTTGAAAAAAAAAATTTTTCCATATAAAAAAAAACCACCCTAATATATATATATATATATATATATATATATATATATATATATATATATATATATATATATATATATATATATATATATATATATATATATATTCCGGAAATGAGCGACAAGCGAGCGATTAGCTAGCTTTATAGTGATTTTATAGCGATTTTTTTTTTCTTATTGTTTTTTTTTCCTAATGTCTTTAACATCTTTAAAATTTCGATTTTTAGTCTTGAGTCTATTATATATATGAGAATAATTAAACTTTAAACTTTGCAAATTTGTAGCAATGTATCGCTAGCTACATATCGTAGCTTTGTAGCTAACTACAAAATATCTACAAATCTATAGCAGGTTGATAGCTGCATATTAAAATTTTTTAGACATCGATTTTATTACGATATGACGCTAGCTACTAAAGCCTGTGGGTTTTTAGCTTATTAAGCTAGCTGTCTTTGTAGCCAAATTGCTGTCTTTGTACAAATATTGATAGTTTTTTGTATCTTTTTTTTTTTATATATACATCATTTTTTTTATATATATATACAGGGCGTGCGCAAGTAGGTGTCACGTGGGGGGGGGGTGCCATTACAACTTTTGCCGACTAAAAAAAAAAAAAAAAAAAAAGTCCTCGTTTTCCAAAATTACGACATTTGCCGACTGTCCATTTGTCACCCCCACACCCCCCTATCGCGCCGGCCTTGTATATATATATATTGTGTAAATATGTATATTTGTGTGTATGTATGTAAAGTTTTAACTAATCTGTTTTGCTGTCTTCATAACCAACCTGTTTGTACATTTTACAAAGTCGAAAAATGAAGGACAGACAAAAAGAACTTATGATAGACAAAATAGTATTTATCAATTGATGAATTAAAATGTATAATAACATTAATGAGTTAAAAATGCCTGAAAGGAAAATTGCATAGACTTTAAACTAAGCATTTAGTTCTTTTAAAGAACTGGAAAAAAAAGAAAATTAAAAATGGTATAAATACTATTAACAAAAACTCAATCATTAAATTTTTTAATTATTGCAAGATTTTTTAATTATTGCAAGCACTCCAAACACCACAAACACCCAAAATAAGCCTAATATTAAAAAAGTTTAGTAAATCTTAGCGGTTCTCTACGACAAGACCTAAATTTTTTTTTCTAATTTTTTTTTGTTAGGTCTAAAATGAATCCAAATTTTATAAAAATTTAAAAAATTATAACCATTATTTTATATATTAAGGCATAAAAAATAACACTTTTTATTATCCAACCTTAAGGTGTAAAGATATAAAAATTACGCTTCCCGCGTATTCCTTTTTTTGTTATAGACTGAGTGCATTATAATGCAAAATTAGAATTTTTTTAATAATAAAGAAAACATACGAAAAAAGAACAAAATTGTTCTTTATGTGATTTTATTCGGAAAGAGTTTAGTACAGAAGGTGTGACAAGATTTTCACGAAAAAAAAAGTACAATTTAAAAAAGTAAGAATATCCGCTAAATTTGAAAAAAAGTTGACCGTAGTCAATAGAACAATTGACAACATTTAAAATTAAAATAAAATTTTGTTAGAGGGAAGTAATTTAGAATGTAAGATAAGTTTGCATTAATCCTGGGCTTCTACAACATCTGAAGGAAGTCGGCCTCATGGTTGATTAGAAAAAGACCTTGATAAGCTGTCTCTAAAAACCAAAATATTAATAAGTAGCAGCGTCTTACCATTGTTTATGTAAATTCAAAAAGTTGTGTTACCCTCCAGAAGATATTATTTCTGTTTCAGAAACTTGAGCTAAATTAAACTTCATGCAACTTTAAAAAAAACAACAAAAAAAAAAAACAGAACGTTTAATAATTTCACGTTTAATTTATGTTCCATTGATATTTAGTGGAAAATTAAATTCAAAACCTCTACCAGTAATTTATTGATTCTCATCGTAAGCAACATTCTATAAGAATTAATTTAAAGGTTTCTGTTATATCAGATTTTTGATTATAAATAAATTTTATTTTTTGAATTCATGAATACTTGCTTTTTAAATACATTTTTTTTACTAACTTCTAAGTTATTAAACCCTTATAAGTTATTAAAGATAATTTCTAATCATATTGCAATGTATTATTTATTTTAAGGATTCATAACAAGAACAATTGCAGAAAAAAAAAAAGTTTTTTCCAGACAGTATTAGACGATTCACTGTGCAGCGTTCAGTGCAACGAGCGAACACCCATTGATTTAAATCTTTGGATAATTGTGCCTCTGACAATTTTAATAGAAAAAGGCTATATTTTTAGCAGCCATTTTTAATTATTTTTAATTTAAAAAAGAAAACTTATTAGTTATGATTCCTCTTAATGCTCCCTTTTTATTTATTAGTTATTCTGTTTTTGTTTTTTTTCCAACAAATTAATTTTTTTTTTATAAACTCGTTGTTTAATGCTGATTTACTAAAAACGTATTGGCAAGGAGGGGTAGAAGGTTTTAAACTTTTAACTCTTTTATTTTTTAAATATTAAAACATCTTTTAAAACTACTTACTTAGACAAAACAGTTTTTACTTTTTAAAGTTGAAGTATTTTTAAAGTTGAGATTTTACTTTTTAAAGTTGAGATAATCTTATGTTAATAAATTAAGCAAATCAAAAAAGTAAAAGTATACAACGTTTGGTTAGCTTGTTAAGTAAAAATATTTTTGTTAAGTTTTTAAAAGAAAAACTTAATCTGCCAATCAACCGCTAGTTGTAAACAGACAAAAAAATAAATAAAAAAAATAACAGTAAATTTTTTTTAGTAGACAAAAATTTTATTTGCCAATTTACCTAACTTATATTTAATACTCTAGTGATTTTGCATAACTTTGATGATATTTGCATACCGGCTTAACTTGTGCATTAATAAATAAAATGAACTAATAAATTTTCATTCATTTTATTCATTTTCAGTTAAAAATTGATTTCTTCGTTAAAAATGTAATCTAAAATTAAGTTATAAAAATGAAACTATGGAAACAAAAATTTTTTTTACAGAGAAATTTTTTTTATTAAAGTTAGACGTAAATGAAATTTAATATTAGACAAAGAAAATGCAAAGAAGTAACGAAAATATAAATGTTAAAGTAACGTCAATTTAAATGTTAAAGTAACGTCAATTTATAACGTTGATGAATAGTCTCTTTGAATGGTCTTCAAAATAAGTTTTATAGCTTTGCAACTTTTGGTAAGAACTAAATATTTTTTATGTATCACTCCCCAGCGGACACAAAAGTCTATAGAACGTCCTACAAACTACATGCATGTTTGATGATTATTTACAGGTTTTTTCTGCAAAAACTGTATGAAAAATTGTTTATCGGTTTTTGTGTTATATGTAGTATATATTTATTTATATGGGTGTGGTGGAATAGTGGAACAAAATTTTTATTGTTGCAAATTTGATTGCTAAAAATGTAAAAAAGGAGTAATGTAGCAAATTTTTGCATTATTGATTGGCGAATAACAGAATAAGGAATAATGTCGCAAATGAATTTAATAAATAGTGTTGAAAATAAAAAAAGGAATAATGTCACAAAAGAATGTGATTTGTGTCGAAAACAAAATAAATGAAAAAATTTTTTTTCATTTTATAAATTTTTTTTTTTTTGTATAAATATGTAAATAAAAATTTTTTTTTTTTGCGACATTAGGCTTTTTTAATATATTCGACACTATTCTGAAGTTCATTTTTCAATACTATTCCTGTCAACATTTATATGCATTGTATACCTTTTTAATTATATATGTTAAGGTAAAATCATTTAAATTTGTTACATAATGAATATTTGTGTGTTTTGCAGCACTTGCACAATTAGTTTCTATTATTATTTTAAACTTTTGTTCTTAGGACTGCATTTGTTGTTCTAGCACCAAATGCAGGTGGAATGCAGTTGGCGATTCCAACTTTACGTATAATTTTCAACCAGATTGTTTCCACTGAGTTTAATATTGGACTTTAGGGTTCAAAATTTAACAAGTGATAATTTTCATACATACTTTTCAAACAAGAGTGAAAAGATGTTTTTAAACGATCGTGGAAAGAGCGTGTCTGCTAACACGACAAAATACTTTTAACAAAGTATGTTTTCATCTTTTGAAACAACCAGTGCTGGTTGATGATGGGGGCTAGGAGGGCTATAGTTCCGGGTTCCGAATCAAAATAAAAGATTTTTTTAAAAAATTTAAAAAAAAAATCTTCGTTTAATGACATGGAAGGGGGACTCCTGATTTAAACACCCCGGGCCCCAAAAGTCTTAATCCGCCACTGGAAACATGTACAAATCTGACAACCACTTGATATATGTTTGCTGATGTGCCAAATTTATTCCGCTTTTTTTAATTCATTTTTGATTCATCCATGAGAAACTCTCTAGTTCAAAATTACAAGTAACAATGAGTAAGCGAACTGCATTACACCTACATATGGTGCTAGAATAACGGATGAAATCTTAGAAAACAGAGCTAAAAAATAACAGAAACAAGTACTGCACAACACACAACAATTCATTACGTAACAATTTGTAATGATTTTACCTAAACATGTGGATTGAAAAATGTAAGTAGACGATGCCGTTCATATCAAATTTTCCTAATATCTTAGTTTGATGCTTACCAATTTTCAATCTATATTTTCATTAATTTAGCTCTCCCTTGTTTATTCTGACAATAAATTACGAATTTCAAATGCAAAACCAATTTTATGCATTTTATGTATTTGACATCTAACGTTTTTGATAGAGTCACTTATTCGTTGTTTTATTCAGCACATTCAACAGCTCTTTTTCTGTAATTTAATGGAGATAAAGCAACATTCAACAGCTCGTTTTCTGTAATTTAATGGAGATAAAGCAACATTCAACAACTCTATTTCTGTTATTTAATGGATATAAAGCTTAACTGTTTTTTCAGCTTGTTTAGTTGCATATATATGGCTGTATCTTTTGTCACGACAATATAAAATTAGTAATTTAAAAATATATTTTATGTGGCCATATATATATATATATATATATATATATATATATATATATATATATATATATATATATATATATATATATATATATATATATATATATATATATATATATATATATATATATAATATATATATATATATATATATATATATATATATATATATATATATATATATATATATATATATATATATATATATATATATATGTATATAAATATGTACAAATTAGATAAGTGCTTTTACTAATTTACATTCATAAATATATTTCGGTAAGTTTTAAAAACTGATTATGAAGTATAATCTTATATAAGGTTGGCAATTAAAAAAAAATTGTTTCTCTTAACCAATGGGTAAATTAAAACTTTTTATTTATATTATTTTATTAAATGTAAACTAGAACAAAAAAAAAATTTAACTTTTTTTGTAGGATTTTTAAATAAATGTTTAAAAAGGATTTTTAAATAAATGTTTAAAAAACTGATTCCTTACTGGTTGGTTTCTCCGAATGCTTTGCCGCGGCTCTGCAGCGGCTGACTATGCCGGACATTTTTTTTTCCTTATTTATTTAGCCGTACAAATATTTACAAATATTTACAAGTTCCGTGTTTTATTATATATATAAAAATGGCAAAGACGAGAAGACAGGTTTGCCTTATCACCAAGTCCCTTGTTTTTTTAAGATATTTATATAAATACGTTGTAACTAATATTAAAAATTAAAAATGAGAGAAAAAAGCAAAATGTTTCAAAGAAGTTTGTACAAAATACAAAACAGTTTAATAGAGTCTTTCAAAGTTATTTTTAATGTTTAAAAAATATTTTTAATTAATTAAAAAGTTCTTAATAACATGAAGGTTAGCTACGGTAATGCAATGCTATTTATATTCAAATTTCAAAGTTATTCATTGAAAGAAAATTTAATAATTCATTCAAGAAAACAAAAATCAACAGCAACAACAACAACAACAACAAATAAAAGAAAAGATGAAAAAATGAAAACATAATGTTAATTTACAATCAAAAGATATATATACACTTACACATGTATGTATATATAATGTTTTTAAAGATAATTTTCAAATATAATGTTTTTAAAGATAGATTTAAAAATAATTCTCTGTTTGTTATTTAAAAGCAATAGTGTTAGCTTTTGTTTAAACTGTTTAAGAGTTGTAAGTGTTTTAATATCATTACTAATTAACTTATTCCATACATTTGGTCTTCTAATAGTTATTGAGAACTTGGTGAACTCATATATAGTTTTGGGTTGAACAAAGTTGTTATTTGAATATTTAGTCATGTATTTGTGTTGAATTTTATTAAATAATGGTTTGAAGATATTTGGTATTGTATTATTATTAGTTTTATACATAAAAATTAGCAGATGATATATATTTAAGTGGTACAAATTTAATATTTCTAAATTGTTGAACAATGGTCTAGAATGTGAGAGGCGGTGTGCATTTGATAATAATCTGATTGCATGTTTTTGTTTGCTAAATAGCTTTTTTGTCTTTGTTTTATTGGTGCTGCACCAAGCAATGTTGGCATAATTAAGATAGGAATGAATAAATGAGTAATATATGTATTTCAAACATGATTGATCTAAGTATGGTTTTGCTTTATAGAATATCCGATATTTTTAGAAATTTTATTTTCAATCATGTTTATGTGGTCTTTTTAATTTATGTTTTCATCTAGTATTACACCTAGAAATTTTATTGAACATTCTCTTTTAACGTTGTATTCTCTAATAATAAGTTTTGAAAGTGCAATAGGGATTTTACCTTTTTTATGGAGGCGATGAAAGATAGTATATTTGGTTTTAGGTAAATTAATTGAAACTTTGTTCATATTTAACCATTCAGTTAGTTTTAGAAGTTCAATGTTGACCGTTTTAAATAATGTTGTTAAATCACTATGAGAATAAAATAAATTTGTGTCATCAGCAAATAATATAGAATCTAAAATATTAGAAGCTTTGCTTAAATCATTAATATAGATTAAAAATAAAAGTGGTCCTAATATAGATCCTTGAGGAATGCCGCAAGTAATTGTCATATCGTTTTTTTTTTCATTGCTAAATAAAATATATTGTTTTCTATTCGATAAGTAGCTTTTGAACCAAGCTATGTTTATATTTTTGATCCCATAGTTTTCTAATTTTTTAATTAAAATACTATAATCAACAGTGTCGAATGCCTTACTAAGATCTATGAAAACACCTAAAGTGAACTTACTAAGAACTATGAAAACACCTAAAGTGAACTTACTAAGATCTATGAAAACACCTAAAGTGAACTTACTAAGATTTATGAAAATACCTAAAGTGAACTTGTTTTTGTCAAAACCTTGAAAAATGATCTGAATGAGATGAAGAACGGCATGATCGGTAGAGTGTCCTGTTTTGAAGTCAAATTGTTTGTTGTAAAGAATATTATTTTTTTCTAAAAATGTGTATAATTTGTTATACATAATGCGTTCTAGTATTTTCGAAAAGCAAGGAAGTATGGAAATAGATCTATAGTTCGAGATAGTATCATCTCCAGATTTAAAAACTGGTATTACCCTTGCAATTTTGAGTTTTTTTGGAAAGATTCTTTGTTTAAAAGAAAGATTAAATATATGCAGAAGAGCATTTTTATTATTTTCATTAATAATTTTCAGAAAATAGAGAATTATTAAATCAGTTCCATAGAAATGTCATTATATATTCGATTTGTAATAATAACTTTTTTTTGAGGGGTGTTTTCGACAACCTTATGTGCGATTATAAATATTGGGAAATGATCCGATATATCATATATTTCTATTCCAGTTTTTATTTTGTTTTTTGTATATTCATTAATTAATATTTTATCAATTGAGTTTGCGCTATTCCTAGTAATTCGTGTTGATTTATTTATTGTTGGAATGAAACCATTTTGAAATATGATATTCAGAGAATTTTTTACATTTTTATTTGTGTCGTAATCGAGCACATTATAATTAAAATCCCCAACAAAAAAGACACGTTTGCCACATAAAATTTTTTTTTTAATTAAATTTTTGAAGTGTTTTTCAAAAAACTTGTTATTGCTAGATGGTGGTCTGTACACAACATGTACAATGATGTTTTTAGTGACTTTATTTATAACTTCAATCGTTAATGATTCGCAATCATTGTTAATTACACAAAATTCGGTTAGCGGTTTAAAATTTAA